GGATAATACTTCTCAGCCTTGTCTTCAGATTGGGATAACCTGGGGAGCTTTAAAAATATTGATGTGATCGCTAATTATTAGAGAAATGCAAATCAAAACTACAAAGAGATATCACCTCACACCAGTCAGAATGGCCATCATCAAAAAATCCACAAACAATAAATGCTGGAGAGGATGTGGAGAGAAGGGAACCCTCCTACACTGTTGGTGGGAATATAAATTGGTACAGCCACTGTGGAGAACAGTATGGAGGTTCCTTAAAAACTAAAAAAGAGCTACCATATGATCCTGCAACCCCACTCCTGGGCATATATCCAGAGAAAAACATGGTCTGAAAGGATACACGCACCCCAATGTTCATTGCAGCACTGTTTGCAATAGCCAGGACATGTAAGCAACCTAAGTATATCCATCGATAGATGAATGGATAAAGAAGATGTGGTACATATATACAATGGAATATTACTAAGCCATTAAAAAGAATGAACTAATGCCATTTGCAGCAACATGGATAGACCTAGAGATTATCATACTGAGTGAAGTAAGTCAGACAGAGAAAGAGAAATATCGTATGCTATCACATAAGCAGAATCTAAAAAAAATGTTACAAATGAACTTATTTACAAAACAGAAACAGACTCACGGACTTAGAGAATGAAGTTACGGTTACCAGCGGGGAAGGGTGGTGGGGAGGGATAGTTAGGGAGTCTGGGATTGACATGTACACACTGCTATATTTAAAATGGATAACCAACAAGAACCTACTGGGTATAGCACAGGGAACTCTGCTCAATATTATGTAACAACCTAAATGGGAAAAGAATTTGAAAAAGAATAGATACATGTATATGTAAAAAAAAAAGTATGTATATTTAACCTTTAAAATTATCATGATGATTAAATCTTATAAAGTATGTAAAGCAATTATAAAAAAATATTGATGTGACTCCCCCACCATAGCTTCTAATTTAAACTTCCAAAGGGCAGAATATGGCAACAGGGTTTCTACAGCTTCATAGGTGATACTAATGTGCAGCCAAGGTCAAGAACCTCTGTTCTAGGAGGTGTTGGGCAACCTCAGTAAAGCAGACCAGTCACTATTCCATGAGATTATACCATAGAGGTTCCAGGGTTACCAACTCCACATCATAAACAGGGCAAGTAAATGCATGCTTGCCTTTTGGCTGCTTTGTTCCAGAGCTCTTGGGATTGTTCAAGGGAGGGAATGACGACAACTGCCCTTTTTCAATATTCTTGAAAAACTCAAGTGTATCGGGCATTGACTTCTCCAGTTGCTCTCCTAGTGTCTCCCTCTTTCAGCCTCATCCTTTTTTATTCTTTCCTAACCTTGCTCTAATTACTTCAAGGCTTTCAAAAGCCTTGGTTTTCTCATCTATGAGGTTGATAACATTTATCTGTGACATACATAGCAAAACTTCAACACATCATAAAGTTCATAAAAACCATAAGAGGTTGGCAGCCCATGGTCCTAGCTCCCTAAAATTATTTGAGAGGCTACAACTGAAGTCAGATCTGTTTTTCTGACTGGGAGATTCCAGAAAGTCAACTGTAATGGTTAATCCAGATTTTTTTTTTACTCTGTCTCTACACACTGTAGGAAATGATGCATATTTAAAGAAATCCTTTGGGGTCAAACACCCCTCTACCTCTCTCTCATAGGATTTTAGGTATCATAAAATTAACCAATTCTTCTGAAATAGGAAATTGATTATAATTATAGATCTTATTGGGACATCTACCAGCATCTAAATAACTTTCTCAAGGTGGAGTTAAAAGCCTGCATTCTGTAGTATGAAACATCAGTATATCTGTATGGTGAAGGGAATCTGTATTGTGTATTTTGAAAAAAGGGGAGAAGATCTAAAATTCTTTTAACATAATAGCCTATGTCTAAGGACAGTGGTTCTCAAATTTTGGAAGGTTATCTGAGTTATTTGGGAAACTTGGTAAAAGTACAAAGACCCAGTCTACCCTATTTCAGGAGCTTGGACCTCTGTTGTTTATTAGTTATTCACTTAGTTCTGATATACACCCAAGTTTGGGACCCACTGCCTTAGGACACCAGATAGGTCAGGCTAGCTGGTTACTGTAAAGATGCGGGCCTTAATGGAAGGGAGTAAATTATTCATTTTTCAGGATTTGAGATGCCTTTTTCTTTCAACTGAACTAGAAAGCACTCCTTGCCAACGAGACTGTGGACAAAGTCCTTTGTCTTTGTGGGCTGCCATCTCTTGATCTCTTGATGTTTGCGGGGGAGGGGAGGGGGGCTGGTTAGGTTTTGAAGAAAAGAATGGATGATACTTTCAAAAATATGGTGGCGTCAATTTTCACTTTATTAGGAGTCTCAAACTTTAATATGCAAATTAATCACCTGGAAACCTTGTCAAAATACAGATTCTGATTCAGTAAATCTGGGTGGGACCTGTGATTCTGCAGTTCTAATAAGCTCCCGGCTGATGCTGATACTGTTGATTTGAGGAGTGAGGTTCTAGCTTTGGTTCTCAACCTTGGCTGCACACTGGAATTTTCTGGAAAGGTTTTTAAAATGTTGATCTCTAGGTCGCACCCCTAGAGATTCTATTTTCCTGATGAAATTGATAGAGATTATGGCCTGGGCCTCCAGAGTTTTAAAAATTCTCCAGGTGACTTTCATATGCAGCAAAAATTGAAAACCCCGGTCTTAGTCAACCATCAAACGTCACCTGTTTTACAAGAGAAACTCTAAAGCGGCTCTTTTATTCACCTCTTTCAAACTACAATGTACAATGTGCTTAGACAGTTCAGAGCACTGGTTTCCAAATTTTGACCCCTCCACTGATGCCCTGCCATGGGAAGTTTTCATCAGAAGTTGTAAAATAAGAAAAATAAAGACAATATAGTGAATTTCAAAAAGCTAAATTAATTCAAGGATCATTTCTGAGATTAGGTCATTCACACCTTTTTTGTTGTTAAAATGTCCTCTCTTACTAAATGAAGATATTAACATATTATATGTGTTTATTTGCTTGTTTCTCATGCCCTTAATCTTCTAAACAAAAAGTTGGGAATCATATGTTGATCTCCATATGTTTTTAGAAATTTTGCTGATCCATGAAATCTGAAAACCTGGGAACTATGGGTATGAGAAATCTGTGAAAATTTGAAAAAAACCCTGAGTCTAGAAAATACTGTTACAGGAATACGGTTTTCAATCTTTGATTCTCTAATCCCTGGGAGCAAGGAAGTTTTTTAGTGGTCATTGAATTTTATAAGCAGCAAAAGTTTTCTACAGACTGAGTAAATAATATGTCTCAGATATATAAGAAGGACTAATTTTCCAAATATATGATGATTAAAATACAAATCTATGAAATCCTTACTAAATACTAGCTCTAGTTTTTATACATTTGCTTTTGACATGGTAATATCATCTATTACTTTTTGATCTTCTACTATGAACAAGGCATACTTATGAACTATGAACAAGGCATACATATGAACAAGGCATATGCACCTTATATAGGTTATCTCATGAGTCCTCACAATAACGCAATGGGATAGATATTGTTATTATGGTTTTACAGATGAAGAAACTAAGTCATAGAGAAATTAAATAACATGTCCAAGGTCAGACAGCTAGTAAGTTACAGAACCAAAATTACAAAGGCTAACTGGATACCTTATAATAATGACTCTATATATTTAATATAACTACTATTATGGGAGGCTTTCCAATTTTTTTTTTTGCCATTAAAAAGAGTTCCTTAAAACTAAAATGGTTAGAAGCCTCTGCTGTGGGGTTTCCCTTTAAATAAGAAGAAACCAAGATTTTAAACAAAAGGCCATCCCTGTTATTTTTGTAAGGCTGAAGCTTTAGCTGAGGGACCACCATCACTCTGACATATAGAGAGAGCTTAAAATCTGGATCCCAGTTTCTCATTCCAGGTTTTTATCATCTGCAAATTTGAGGCAATGTGTTGTAATGGTAAGAACGTGGTCTTTTGAGTTAAACTGACTTTGGTTTGAATATGAGCTCCTCCAACTTACTTAGCTGTGTGATCTGGGGCAAGTTACTAAACTTCTTTTTGTCTCAGGTCCTTCAGCTATAAAATGAGAATAGTTATATCCATCTTTGCTGCCCATCAGAGATGTCCCGTGTCAGGCAGAATGGCCCAGCTCTGGGGCCCTCCTGTGCTCTGTCCTTGGTGGGAACAGCCTGGGGAGGGTGTGGCCTCAGCAGCAATGCTGCAGCAGACTCCAAAGGTGCAGCAGCTGGGGGCTGTCAGCTAATAGCACTCCTCCCAGAAGGTTCTCTCTTGCAAAACAACCTTTGTATGCACGTCTTCGGCTGCCACACTGCTACCTACAATTTTATAGTGAAAGTGTATATTTGTGAGATGATGTCCCCCTCACAAAATGCCGCAATCCAGTTCATTAATTTTTCTCTGTATATCTTGTTTTTGGTCTTGTCTCTCTTTTTTTTTTGCGGTACGCGGGCCCCTCACCGTTGTGGCCTCTCCCGTTGCGGAGCACAGGCTCCGGACGCGCAGGCTCAGCGGCCGTGGCTCACGGGCCCAGCCGCCCCGCGGCATGTGGGATCCTCCCGGACCGGGGCACGAACCCGTGTCCCCTGCATCGGCAGGCGGACTCTCAACCACTGTGCCACCAGGGAAGCCCCTGGTCTTGTCTCTTTTAACTTTACCAACTGCCATATATCAATTATAATTCATTATCACAACTGCTAGGCTCACAATTGGTTTCTTATCTCCGTAAAAAATAGTAAAATCAGCGGTCATTGGCTAAGACATCAGTGCAACAACATCTGGCTTCTGGAATGATTACATGTTTATTATTAGCTTTTAAATCCGTCATGTTGATAGGTAGTTGTAACAGTAAAAATTCTAATGTATTAGCATTTCTTATTACTGTCTAAGACCCTATATTTAGAAGGAATTATTAAGCATAATCAACTTAGATGATTTTTTCTTGGTCTGTCACAGTGTGTTGTCTAGCATGACAGATGCAGTGTTGGCACGAGTGTATAAACAATCAGATCTGGACATCCTGGCTAAAGAAGCATCCATCCCAATCGTCAATGGGCTGTCAGATTTGTACCATCCTATCCAGATCCTGGCTGATTACCTCACTCTCCAGGTTGGCTTATTTCTTTGCCTCACACAAGAGCAGAATCAATAATTCCTAACCAGCTCTAAACGGAAGCATTTAAATTGTGGTATTGGTGTTTTGTTTTCAAATAATATCTTGGCAAAGAATTATGGCATATGTGTACAACTAGATATCCAAGGAAGACAGGGCATTGCTAAAAACAGATTATAGATACTTCTGTTCTCAAACCTTTGCTTTTTTGGTGCCATATTTAACACAGTGGATGAACAGGGAATGCTGGAGCACAGAAAATAGAAGAATCGTTATGTAATCCATATATATCAGGCTCTGTGACTTGGCAGTGAAGACTGGTGGAGTGTGCTTTGAACATTCAAAATGGTCAATTACTAAATGACTTTCTGAGGAGGAGGCCATTTTCTATCATTTTAATAAATTGCTTAAGAGTGGAGTTAAGAGCTTGCAGAATTTATAGAATTGAGGCTCAAATTTAGCCATGTTCCTTCAAATTGAAAACTTGAATAACTTTGAAAGATTCATCCCATTGGGTTTGCCGCAGCCAATCTACAGAGTCTTGCCACTGGGAATCCTAACAACCATGGTTTCTGCGTCTATGGACTATTCTGGGGAGACAGGGCAAACTGGATAGGTAGGTCAATCTTCCTCCTCATTTGAATAAGCTACACACCTGTACATGTCAGGTTAAACTCAAAATGAAACTCTTTGGTGATGAAGGTAAGATTAATGCAGAGAGGATGACACAACGATGTTAGATACCAAGTGGCTGTTTGTATTTGTGGCTTTACATATATGTCAGATAATTAATGCTTCCCCTTGGGGCTTTATCATTACTAGATTATACATTCATCAGGTATAGTGAAATGTTCTACTCATCATATTGTCCCCTGCAGGACCTGGTGCAATGCCTTCATAAAGGAAATTCTCAAAGTAGGAGCCGAATGAATACATAGCAGCTTATTAAGGGCGTGGAATCTAAATCAGATGAACCTGGATTTACATCCAAGCTTAGCCACCCAGTAGTTCTGTGATCTTCAAATTAGTTAGCCTTTCTGTTTTTAAAATCTTATCTTTATAAATATATAAACGTATAAGATATACGAAACCTACAGACACTTCAAGGAAAGTAAAACAAATATCCATGTGCCCATTATACAGTTTTGCCAAATCTTACTTTAGAATTTTTTGTTGTTTTTAAATAAAATGTTACAGGTAAGAGTTGAAGTCCATTTCCTCGAACTCCGCAAAGAAATTTTTATCCTGGTGTTTGTATTTATAATTTCCAAGCATGTTTTTATACTTTAACTGTACATGTCAATATCTATAAACAACCAAATGTATTAATGGTTTTTAAACTTTATATAAATGGGAACTTACTCAACTACCACGCTACACTGTTCTAGGTACATTGTATTTCCCCTTTCTTATACCAACAAGTGTAAGATTCATAAGGGCAGTGATTTTTGTCTCCTTTGTTCATTGTTATATCTCCAGGGCCAAGGACAGTGTCTGGACATTGATGGTTCTCAATTTGTTGAACGAAAGAATAAATACAACAAAGATTCAGATTTGAAATATATGAAAATGAGTCTCCATATGAGCTCATATGATGTCTTGCTTAAGATATTAGGACATATTGCTATTTTTTTGTGATTGTACCTTCATGTTATTGAATTGCTCTGTATAATGCAAAAAAAAATTAGTAGCTTATTCTTTCCAAGAAACCATTTAAAATTGAGATGTAGATTGTTTCCTTTATTGTAACCCTAATAACTGTTTCACATGAGTGGATTTCCTCCCAGATGTAATCTCCTCCATCCCTTGCCTTTCAGGAACACTACGGCTCTCTGAAAGGCCTTACCCTCAGCTGGATTGGGGATGGGAATAACATCTTGCACTCCATCATGATGAGTGCAGCGAAATTCGGGATGCACCTTCAGGTGGCTACTCCAAAGGTAGGGAAACTTTCTGCCTTGAAACTAACCCCCTTTGAAATCATTCCCAGATGCAATTACCTAGTGAAAGACAAACCTCTCTTCCATTCAAGGAGAGGACAGGTGAGGCCACAAAGTTTAGGTTATGTTACTAGCCCTACTATTATAGCTACCCGGCCTCTTGAGTTTCCAATTTCCCATCTCTACAAAAAGAGATAGTCTTGCCTGATGCCTTTCACCCTGTAAGTCTGTGTTAAAAGCATGTCTGAATTATCCCTTTGAGTACCCTGAAACCAGCCATTATGATGACTGGCATTCTTGTGCATTGCTACCACAAAGGCTGAAGAAAGTAATGAAATCCAGACAGCGTAGAAATCCCAAAAGGCATGGGGAAGATGCTGTCATTTTTTGAGTACTACGATTTGGTTAAAAAAAAAAAAAAATTCACTCTAATGTGAAGGACACAGCAATGGCATGTACACCAGCTTAGTGTTTCAAAACTCAAATCCAGGGGCCCTTCAGCCTTTTAAATCTGAGTCCTGGCTGTGAAGCTACCCCCACTTACTTCCTAACCTGCTATTAATCTCTCACCGGATGTATGGGAAGCGTGACTTCTTTTATAGGTCCAAAGTAACCCTTTATGATACACGAGAAACTGGTAATAATTGTTGTCTGTGAGAAGTGAAACTGGGAGATTCAAGGATAGAGGTAGGAGGGAGACTTTATTTCCACAGCATATCCTTTTACGTGGTTTGAATTTCTTAACGTGTAAATGTTCTACCTACATATTAAGTCCGTAAATAAATACACCAAAATAAAAAAGTGCAGCTCCCCCTAGGAGAAGCCCTATGTTAAGATACTCCCAGCCTCGAGTTTGGGATTAACAGATGCAAACTATTATATACAGGATGGATAAACAACAAGGTCCTACTGTATAGCACAGGGAACTATATTCAATATCCTGTGATAAACTATAAGGTAAAAGAATATGAAAAAGAATGTATCTATATATGTATAACTGAGTCACTTTGCTGTACAGCTGAAATTAACACAACATTGTAAATCAACTATACTTCAATAAAACTTAAAAAAAAAGATACTCCCAGCCTCATACAAAATAAGTAGGCCTTTTAGAGGATAAAAACTAATTCTACAAGAGACTCATACACAAATCAGTCCTGAAGGATCTCCACCGAACCTTTTACATACCCCCTCTCTACTGAATTCTTTTCACCATTATGTTTCTCATTAGTTACAATTTCCTATCAGGAGTCTTTTGAGGGGAAAGCTCTCCTAAATAGAAGCCATTTCAGAAATGAAGTAAAAGACAGAACTGATCTTCTCATTAAGGGATGATGATTCACAAAATTGTCCACCAGTGTTTCTGACCGAACATGTGTTTGCTGTTATCTCAGTAGTCACTGCTGTGGTTCACTCTGATAAGCGAAGACATTCAGAGGTGAATATGTGAGGCCTAAAAATTCCTCCTTGCTTCTGCTTCTTGAGTTTAAGAGGGACCCAGGGCTTTCTGGGGACATGGGACTATCAGTGCTAAAACTGGGAGGGTCCCAGGCAAGCTAGGGTTATTTGGTCACCCAAGCGCCATGTCAGGCACTGTCCCACAGAAGGGGGCTTCAGCCTGATCCAACAAGTGAGCTCTGGAGTGTAGGTTATACCCCAGAATTGTCCCAACCCAAGGCAAGGAAGATGGGCTGTTATCCTTGGAATCCAGTCATTGGCCAAGGGCAGCGTGGGAGGTAGGGTGGTGAATCCCCTGGCACGTTTGGCAGGAAAAGCAGTCGGTGGCCAGTGGGCCATCTTCTGAAGAAGAGCTGTGACTGTAAGGTGTTAAAAGCACACTGAAATGGGGAGAGGGGGCAAAAGATGGAAAACGGGGTCCTCTGAGGGCATCTGGGTAGAGCACTAGCATTGCTGCATCCTGCCAAAACCAAATAAAACAAATAAGACAAAACAAAACGCTTTTCTCTAGTGTTCTTGCTGAACCGGTTTGAGTCAATGCACCTGCTGCCTTAGTTTCCCAGGACTGCCATAACAAATTCCTACTGGGTGGCTTAAAACAACAGAAATGTATTATCCCACAGCTCTGGAGACTAGAAGTCCAAAGTCAAGGTGCTGGCAAGGCCACAGCCCCTCCAAAGCCTCTAGGGGATGATCCGTCCTTGTCTCTTCCTACTGCTGGTCGCCCCAGGCATTCCTTGGCTTGTGGCGGCATCACTCCAATCTCTGCCTCCATCTTCTTCCCTTTATGTCTGTGTTTCTTGTCCAAATGTTCCTCTTCTTATGAGGATAGCAGTCATATTAAATTTAGGCCAACACTAATCCAGTATGACCTCCTTTTAACTAATTACATCTGCAAAAACCCTACTTCTAAAAAAGGTCACATTCTGAGGTTCTGGTGGGGAAGGAATTTTTGGAGGACACTGTTCTACCTAATACACTTGCCACAGAAGAAATGTCAAGGCATAGGCAGCAGCATATATTGGAAGCCACCCTATTATAGTAAACTTTGGGGATGCAGAGAGCTAACCCTTACAACAGATAGATAATCCTTTCATTCAGCATGAACTGGAATAAAGGGTCGGATCTGACGTGTGAATAAGGTAGTTCTTCTTCATTTTATGGGGAGAGTTAGCACACTCTCACTACAAATCTAGCTTGAAGAAGGGCTTTATATTAATGCAAACTCTTACTGCATTTGGGTTTTACAGATAAAACATACGTTGACAATAGTTGTTCCCTGCTATAAGGTGTTTTTGGAAAGGTTTTATTCTGTTGGAGAAATACATGATTTAAACATTTTATTGCATGTCAAAGATGTTTTATTAACATCAAAGGAAAAAATCCCAATATTACAGAGTAATTTCAGTATTGTTCTTATGCAGAAACTCATTTAAATGATAAAAAGTACTAAAACCTGGTTAAATTTTGGTGGGAGTAACAGTTTTAAAAAGTCTTCTGGAAAGTCTGAAGTGTAGAAGTTTTTCCATCAATTTATAAGTAGACCTATTTCCTTTAAAGATAAAGCTAGGAGACTTAGTGTAAACTTAAGAAGCACTGAAAAGTTTCCAAGGCCATAGTTAATCTATTTCTCCATTCTGCAACCAATAACTTACATATTCAAGAAAACGTAATTTTGTCCTTGATTGTAAAATTGTTCCATAAACTATTGATGGTAATGATTTTAACATTGTTCTAAGTGAATATTTAGACTGAACTGGGTCTGTTAATCACCTTCTTCGTCTGGTTTTAAGATTTATGTAAAAGCCAATGAGTGATTTAGTATTGAAAGCTGAGCTGTGAGTAAAGAATTCCTCTTTGTATTCTCAGTCATGGCCCAGCGCATGCAAGGTTGGGTGATTTTCTAATTTCCAAACCTCTCTGTTGGTTCTCTAAGTGCTTATTGATTCCTTCTCTAAGAATGATTATACTTAGGGAGTATAAAACCTGCTTTCCAAAGGCAGAGCTAAATTTTCAGGGCAGGAGGTACACGGGGTAATAGCCAAGCCTCTGCATTTATGTTTACCAGTATGAATGGTCACAACATTAGTTACTAAATTAGCAAGCCTTACTAAATTAATTACCTTCCCCAAATTTCAGGAAACAAAGCTCCAGAATTTATGGCTATTTGAGGATGATACAGCTGCTAAAATGTCTGCAGGTATCATCGTCATCTGATAGTTTCTTTCCTCAAGAATTTTTTAATGAGAGAAGGAACTATTATAGATAATTTTGTGCAAATAAACACAATTTCAAATGACTAAATCTGAACATGCCTGTTGTGGGTCGAGTTTCCTGGGAAGCAGATTCTGAGCGTTTGGCATGCAGGACGTGCAGGATGTTTATGACACCGTGCCCTTGAGAAGGGAGGCGAAGGAAGCAGGAGTGCAGAGGGAGAAACCGAACTGCGATGCAGGCCCAAGAGCAAACTCAGCCGACCTTATGGAGAATTCTAGATCTGAGATGGCCATTTAGGGCTGTCCCGAGTTGGGAGGATGGAGTCAGGTTTTTATGTCCTCCTGTCAATCAGTCACTGGATGCAGGTGGCCTTGGAAGGGTACGTGACCCTGGGTGAGTCGGCTTCTGTGCAGCTGAGGCAGTGCCCGAAGAGGGCTGACAGCTGAAAGCCATCTTCTGGCGCACATGCAGCAGCTGGGACAGTAAGTCTTTTATTCATGAAGGGGGATCTGGGTGACACATCACAGCATCCATCGCAATGTCCTACTGAGAATTTATAAAACCGAGTCAAAAATAAATTCTAAGAATTCAGAAAAACAAGAAGGATGGAGGATGATGAGAATAATTATGGTGTTTGGACTGACAAGCCTTCCACATGGAGGGTCCAGAGGTGAGGCAGGCCTAGAGTTTTGATAAAGGAGGAGCTGACATGTTCCAGTGAAGACGCCCGGAAGGGGACAAAGGGGGAGGTGTGCAAGGGTGAAAGGCTGTGATGGCAGAAAAGGGCAAGACGTGTACAAGGATGACAATGAGATTGGCTTTCCTGCAGCAAGATGTTGAGCAAAATTAAAAGAGACAGAAGCAGGAGATGTCGGCGGGGAGCCTTGATACTCTTAATCGGCTTCGACTTAAGAAACAAGTAGTAAACATTGAAGGCTTCGGAGAAAACAATTCTTTCTGCTGCGTATAGAGCAGATTGGAGGGTGAGGATGGAGGCAGAGGGGTTACCTGTGGGGTCTGGAATAGCTTGGGGGACTTTAGCTGTTCCCACAGTGTCGCCCCCCACCTAGGGTTCAGACCAGCCTGAGCAAGTGAGGTACCCAGGGTGCAAAATTTGTGTTTGCACGCCTGACAGTGAGCGCTTGCCTCACCCAAGTCCCGACCCTGCCCTCACCAAACCAACCCAAACGAATATATTTCAACAAAAACTGTATACTTGCTGTGCAAAGGCCTTTCAAAGCAAGCTCCCTGCACACAGAATCCTGGCCGGTGAGCGCACAGAGTAAGATGTGTGCATGTGGGCTCTGAGTATTTGCTCACGTGGTGAGGGGAAGGTTTCTCTGAGGAGGAAACATTTGAGCTGCGACCTGAAAGCATTATCCACATGGCGTGGGTGGGAAAAAGCATTTCAGACAAAAATAGCATTTAAAAAAAAACAGCTTGTGGAGAGACTCTGCAACAAAAATGCATTAAGTTGTAGAATTATGTATATAATCCTCTTAAACTATTAGAGGACAAGAAGAGGTGCTACCGAGAGCTGGAAAGCACCACACCCCATTTGTCTTTATGACGAAAGAGGTCAAAGATAATAAAAGACAAATGGGGCAATTGATTACCTTTTTAAATTAAGGTTTGAAATTCTAGATGTCAACATCATATTCTACTGAACATGGTTGAGCTACAACTTAGAGCTCTACAACTTAGAGCAAAAACAGGAAGGAGAGCAGGGATATTGGTGAAAGGAAAATAATGCATGTATAAGAAGGCATTTATAAGAAAACTATCTAAATCACAGTTCATTCTTCCCCCTGCAGGGTTATGAGCCTGATCCCAGCATAACCAAGTTGGCAGAGCAGTATACCAAGGAGGTATGCTCCTTATATGTAAAGGTGTAACTGTCTTTCCCTGTCCTGTGAAGTTCTTTAACCGGCTTGCTCGTGTATGCCAGAATGGTACCAAGCTGTCACTGATGAACGATCCATTGGAAGCGGCTCGTGGAGGCAATGTATTAATTACAGACACTTGGATAAGTATGGGGCAAGAAGAGGAGAAGAAAAAGCGGCTCCAGGCTTTCCAGGGTTACCAGGTTACAATGAAGGTACAAACTGATGCCTCTCTTAAGGTTCATTAATTCCATTCATAAAGGCCAGAATCATCTAATCACTCATTCACTTTGGGGAGAACAGACTGTCCCTTCATTCCCTATAAAGGACTCACTGACTGTATCCCCCAGTGATTTCTCTCCTCCTGAAGATTAGCTCTGTCCTTTGGAAAGACACTTTTGTCTGGGATGAAGGAATTGAAACCCAGGCAGAAGAGAGAAGCAAGCTTTTCCCTCTCACAATGGTGGAGGCATCAGAATTCTTTGCCCTTTGTGTCTCTTTGCAGACCTTTTCTGTGTATTTACATAGTCCTACAAACACACACACACACACACACACACACACACACACACACACCTCCACCCCTAATGATTTATCATAAATGGTAGATTAGACATATAATTGTGACTTATTTTTTCCACCTAACAAATCTTAGATTTTCTTGTCCATTCATTCAGATACTTTTCATTCTTTTTAATGGCTGCATAGAATTCCAAAGTATGAGTGGAACATATTTTACCTAAAATGTTTCCTGTTGAAAAATTAGGCTATTTCCAATTACAAACAATGCTGCAATGAAGATCATTTTATATATATATTTCTTTGTGCAGGTATTACTAGAGAATAGAATCCTCCTTCTAGGGAGAAGAATTTCTGCGTGAAGTGGTATATACTTTTGAAAATATGAGAAATGCTGCTAAACTGCCCATCCAAAAAGGATTGACAATTTATAATCCCTCCACACTCTCTCTGTTCTTAGTTGCAATTTACATTTTTGACTTTTAAAAATCTGTATCTCATGCTTTTTAAAATTTGTATTTCTCTGATTACTAATGAAGTTAAACATCTTTTCATGTTTATTGGCCATTTCCATATCTTTTTCTATAAACTATAATATTCTTTCATATTATATCATATTATCCTTTGCCTATTTTCTATTGTTTTTTAACAAAACCAAAAAAAATTTAGTACAAAGGCAGTAATTTTGAGGTAATAATTTATGAGGGAATGTAGTTTTGAATCTGTAAGTGAACGATGAAAATGGATGGGAAAATGTAATTTTCAGGAATTAACTGTTAGAGAAAATTAAAATTACTAGGACATTTGCATGAAGAATGAACCACCTAGTGCATAGTGCCCATAATCCTGTTTAATGCACTCCTATCTCAGAGCTCTTTTTCAAAATTGTTTTAACTAGTAATGAAGTATGCTTCAAGTGCTAAAGACCATAATTTTGAGATAAGCTAAAAATATAACACTATCACGTAAACGCAACCTTTAAAATACATTGGGGTGTAACTGGTGACTTTTGCTATCAGCCACATATTACCCTAGTAGAGTTCCTTACTCAAGTGTCCATCAACTCACTAGACAGAGTACCAGAAAACTGAGTTAGTGGTTTAATTTGGAGTGGTGATCTCCCAAATCAAAAAAAATGACTAGAAAGGTCCATAAGTTGAAAGTACCATATACATTTCTGATGGGTGCCTTGAGCTTAAACCCTCACTGTGCCCCTTTCTCTCTCTCTTTGCATTGACCTTTGACCCCGGGTCAGAGTCAGAGACTCTGACTGAAGAAGACAAATGTGATAGCCACATATAAGAGTCAAAACACAGTCTTAACCTCATCTCTTCTTTAGATGGCTAAAGTTGCTGCTTCAGACTGGACATTTTTACACTGCTTGCCCAGAAAGCCAGAAGAAGTGGACGATGAAGTGTTTTATTCTCCACGATCACTTGTATTCCCAGAGGCCGAAAACAGAAAGTGGACAATCATGGTAAGCAAGACATGGTGACTGGAGGAGAGGAATTCTCTGTGTGGCCTCCTACTTGGTCATTCATGCCTTTTGGTAAATAATAAGCAGCTGGGATTACCCACATACATTACTTGCTCAGGTGGCATCTACTTTTTTTCCAGAAAGTTCATAATAGATTATTATTGCTTAAAGCATTTATAGTATATTTTCAATGGAGTAAAACTGAGCCCCATCGAAATATATCTATTTTAGTCAAAATTCTTACTGTTCTTGAGTGTGAACACCAGCCACCATTGCCTGCCAACCATGATAAGTTGTAGAATTCTTATACAGTAATTTAAAAATCCCCTTGTTAATGTTTATAGAAGCCCCTAATTCAGTGCCTGGCACAAAGTGGGCATTCAAAGAAATCTTATTTCCTTTCTCCTCCCTTTCTTTCTTTCATTCCTTGCCTAGATAATTGTTTTGGTTCTCTATTGGCTTTAGCCCCACAGACACGTTTGTTTTTAGGCATAGCACATTTCCAAAATTGCAGCAAGACTAATCTTAAAAATTATTGGTCCCTTTAACAAAATGCCACTAGTTTCATCTTCATCACCACTATTCTAGGAAATATTAACCTCACATCTCTGCTTTACAATATCCCAAACACCATTGTCTTTTCTGGAAAACGGAATACTCCAGTGCCCTAATTTAGTACCACCATCTTTTAGCGATTTAACTGATCTCAATTACTATACCAGCCAGGGTCTTACTGGCAAACAATAGAGTCCCCTTCAGGTAGAGAAATAAAAAGGAATTTGCTAAAAGATATTAGGCACCTCCCAGAATCTCTGGGGAAAGAGGGTGCAGCGAATCCTTCTTGTATACCACATATTCAGAAACAACACAGGCAGGAAAATTGCCCAGCAACACTGTGGTTGTTTTGTAACCAAAACACCACTGACACAGGCACCCATAGCCTGGTACCTAATGCCCTGGAAACTAAATGCCAGGTAGTCCATTATAGTTTCCCCCACCTGCATATGAACCAGAAGATCCAATCTCCCAGAGGTGGCTTCCACTGCATGTTGTTCACTTATGGCTGCAAGATGCAGCTGAGTGGCATGCCTGCACTCCAGCTACAAGGGAGTCTCGGAAATGTAGTTTATAGCTTTCAGTATACGGAGTAGATAAAAACAAGCTGGAAAGGACTATCTGCTAATTATTTATGTAAGCTATAAATGGATATAGATAGGGTTATCGTGAGCATTAAATAATGCATGTAAAACATTTAGTATGTTATCTAATGCACTGTAAATGTTGTTATTATAATTATCATCACCATCATCATCTTCATTGTTGATCTAATGCAGTGACCAGCAGAGATTTGAGCTCTACTATAGGTGACTGGAAGCCAATCATGACTCCCTTTGCAATGAAAAGTTGTGTATCAGGCCTAAATTTGTCATATCTAACAAGAGGGATGATTTTGTTTGTTTGTTTGTTTGACTGCTCCTTCCAGCTTGCCACCTCAGGACACTAACTTTGGCCAAAATGGCAATTGTCATGTCATTTAGACCAGTGCCTCTGAAGCTTTAATGTCTATTTGAATCATGTTAAAGTGCAGATTTGGATTTGGTCTGAGATGGGGCCCAAGATTCAGCATTTCTAACAAGCAACCAGGTAATGCAGATGCTGCTGTCCTGTGGACCACATTTTGAGGAGCAAAGATCCAGATGACGAAAAAAGAAATGTGAGCTCTCCAACCCATATACCTCAAGAAGAAACATAGGCCTCAGGCTCTGTTCTTTATCAGAGGATGACTGAAGTTACAAAGATACATTTTTTTCAACCCAAATCTGTTAAAATAGGTCCTTTGTTGAAATTCAGAGGGGGAAACTAAAAGTAAGCTTTCTAAAATATCATTTATGAAGAGTCTCTTCACATCTGAATTTTTAAAGAGCTTATTATGCACATCTTTCAATTGAATTTACTTAAAAAATTAAGTACTTAATGCATTCACATAATTGAAATGTTTGGAGTGTATATATTATACATACACACAGTGAAATGTTATGCCCACCCATTTTCCACCATCTAGGTCCTACCACCATCTCTCCATCTCCCATCTTCCTTTCCCTAATGGGAAAATATATTTTAAAGAAAACAAGAGGCATAGTCATATTAAAATGAAAGTAGAGAATCTAAAATAGAAAGAATACTCGACTGGGAGTGAGGAGACTTGAATTCTATAACTGTCTTTGATGTTACAACTGTCAGCTGTGTCATATTGCATAAGTGTTACCTCTCTGGGTCCCAGTTTCCTCACATATAAAATAATCAGATCAAGCCATATAGATGGCAAGTGATTTTAATTCTTAGGTCCTCAATCTCATTAACAGGCTACTTAGAGTCCTATGTTCAGAAGGTTCTAAGCCTGCCTGTGGTCTTGGAAGGAAAGAGTGGCATAACTGACTAGTGAGACCTGACGTGGATTCTGGAAGGGGGTTGGTGACACACATGCTGTCCTCTTTATGTCTCTGAGCCAGATGATTTGGCAGTCCCATTGAATTAAGTTCATTTCAGCAATCATATACTGAACATCTACTGTGTGCCAGGCCCTCTGGCAGGCACTGGAGATAAAAAAGTGAACACTGTGCAGTCCCCACATAGCCTGTACAATTCATAGAAGCATGGCATTTTCGAGGGATGAGACCTTAGAGATTGTCTAGTCTAAATTCCTATTTCATAGGCAAAGAAATTATTCTTAGACAGCTTATTTAGAATGGCATTTAGGCTCAGCATTGCTGTGATAGAGTCTTCTGGGATGTTCTAAAGGCACAATACTTGTTTTCCTTTAGAATTTCCCTATCCAATACAGTAGCCACGAGGCGCATGTGGGTATTTAATTTTTTTTTTTTTTTGGCTGTGCCGTGCAGCATGTGTGATCTTGGTTCCCTGACCAGGGATCAAACCGGTGCCCCCTGCAGTGGAAGCGTGGAGTCTTAACCACTGCACCGCCAGGGTAGTCCCTAAGTTTAGACTTAAGCTAATTAAAAGATAATAAAATATAAGATTCAATTCCTCAGACATACTAACCACATTTTAAGTGCTCAAAAGCCACATATGGCTGGTGGCTACACTATTTGTATTGGACAGCACAGACATAGAACATTTCCATCATGGCAGAAAGTCCTATTGGATAGCACTACTCTCTAGAGAATGATTTCCACATACACAATTTCATTTACAATCAGGATAGAAGAAGGAAGGAAAGATACAATCTATCCTCAAGTTCTGAGGTGCCCATAATGACTAATGTAATAACTAAATAAGGTGAAGGGCTTGTTCTAAAAGCATATAATATTTTTAAAGCAAAAGTATACTCTTTCAGCACTCACAGTAGCTTTTTAAGGCCTTCCTGCTGGGCGATTTCCAGCAGTGCTGTTCAGAACACTCCAGTAATCACATCATTCTCTCCATAGGGCACAGGCCTTTTGATCCCTTTGTTTAAAACACACACACACACACACACACACACACACACACACACACGGACATGCATGCTCTCCTTCCCACAAAGTTACCTTTTGTATTTTTCAATAATTACTAAGGCTGTAGGACTCATGAAGAGTCAGGTGGGTTTCTTCCTCTGCCTACAAATTTTACTGTGCAGCTGAAGTAACCTAAAGGGATCCTGCAAAAAATCTGCCACTTCAAAGCACTGCTATCGTGATGACCCTTAGATACACAACACTATTGCGAACGTAGTTCATAGTATTTTATCGTCTCTTCTCTCCAAGTTAGGGGTGCCAGATAAAATACAGGATACCCAGCTAAACTGGAGCTTCAAATAAACAATAAATAATTGTTTAGTATAGACGTGTCCCATGCAATATTTGGAACATATTTATAGTTTAAGAAAAATTATTGTTTATCTGAAATGCCTATTTATTTATGTATGTATATATGTACGTATGTGTCTAACTAAATCTGGCAACTCCATTCCTAACTGACTTTCTAAGATTTAATATTTGAAAATAAATTTGACATATGCAGTGACCATTAAAAACAAAACCAAATCTGAGATGTGATCCCAGGAACCCATAAAAAAGCTTAAAATATTTTCCTGGAACATGTTATTATCCCAGTGTTTGACCTTTCTATTTTCTCCTTGCCATTCAGATCTCAACTTAAATGTCATTCTTTAACAAGATCTTCCCTGGCCACCCTCTCTTAAATGGTTCCCCAGCCTCCTTTATCCTGTTTTTTATTTTCTAATGACATTTATCACTCCTTGATATTTTCTTTTTTGTTTCTTGCCTGTCCCCTCCCTATAATGAAAACTCCTTCATAAGAGCATTGATCTTGTCTGTAATGTCCTTCATTACACCTAGAAGGGTACCTGACAAATACCCTACATATGTGCTCAATACATTTTTGTAGCCTGAAGGCAATACAGAGTACTGGTTGGTTCTAGAACACAGGCTTTGGAAATCAGGTTAATATTCTGGCTCTCTGTGTGATCTTGGGAAAGTACCATAACTCCTCTAAGCCCAGTTTATTCATATGAAAACGGTGGTCAAGGTCCAGGACAGGCAAGTCCAGATCCACCCCTTACTACCACCACTCAGGAAAATACCTATGCTTCAGTTTCCTCATCTGTATTTTATATCTCTTCCTACCTCACATAGTAGGAATGGATCATAATAGTACGATGCACATAAAGCAGTCAGCACAGGGCCCAGCACATGGTAACTCTTCAATAAATATTTTCAATGGGCACATCTGAAAGACAAGACCTGCTCTTGCTTGGTCAAAAAGCAAGAGCAAGTACCTGAAAGGCAGTAAAACTACCTCTTAAGAGTAGAGTCAGAGAAACCTGGGTCCAAACCCAATTCTGTACTCTGTGTTGTTTCCAGGATCGAGTTTCTCATCTATAAGCGATAATAACACAAGCTGCCTTAGAAGGTTGTTGCGTTACATGAGATAAGGCACAGACAGTTCTCTCTGCCTCACTGTAGCACCTAGCACAGTGCCTGGCAAATACTTCTTAACCGACTAACACATGATAAGGCACTTCGTCTGGTACATAGCAAGCACTCAATCAACATTTGTCATCACTGTTTCTGATCGTATTACTATTGGCATTCTTGTGGAAGTTGGGAAGAGTAAAGGTGAAAATTCCCATTTGTAGCTGCCAGCCTAATGGGAAGCTGTACTCTTGGTTATAAACACTCTTTCATGAGGACCCAGATTCGGAAAGACATTATTCATTAACCTAAATGATTTACCTTAACTACTCTACATCTGATTTATTCTAACCTTCTCTAGGTTACAAGTAGCCAAACCACAGTGTAAACACAAGGATGGGAGGGATTCTATTTCTCTAAAACCAGCCAATACCTAGGTTTCACTATGACTAGAAAATCCAATCATGGCTACCACCTTGGAATCTCACTTCAGCTCTCTCCCCCACTAGTCCTGGAATGAGGCCTAAATAAGCATGGTGTTTGTGTATGTATTTGGGTCACCCTGATCCCTCCTGACCTCCCTTTATCCAAATAAAAATAAATATTAGTTCAGAACCGTCCCCTTATCATTTCCTCGGGAAAACACATTTCAACTATAGGCCTTCAAAGCTGCAACCTGGATCCTCTTCCGTAAGTCCCTAAACAGACTCTTGCTAATGTTTACCCATTTCTTTCTTTCTCTTTCTCTGTGTGTCATCCCAGGCTGTCATGGTGTCCCTGCTGACAGATTACTCGCCTCAGCTCCAGAAGCCGAAGTTTTAATGCCGTGATGCTTCTCAAGAGAGAAACCATCTTCTTCAGTAACAGAACGAGTCAGTTTATGAGGGAAGGAGAAGAGAATCGAAGAAATAAACAAATCTTGATACAGGGTATAGGTGAATGATACATTGCTTTGCCATTGTGAAACCTTCCTGAAGCCCTTAATTTAAGTGCTGATGCACTGTAACACGTGGCTTAACTTCGTTTAAACTTTCTAATGCACAATTTCTGAGTTACATTTGGGTACCATATTCATAATCATATACGTTTGCTTCAACTAAACATAAAATACTGTGTTCATAACACATAATGCCTAAGCCATTAAATGTAATCTACACTTATTACCTTAATAAATTATCACCCACACTAATTTATAAGTAAACATTTACCAGACAGTCAGCTGCTGGTAGATGTGTGGGCTGTGTTCATATCCCCTAGGACCAACAAGGGAGCCAGATGATCCGTCTTGCTTGTGTAATACAATTTTCAGGCAAATGAGGTAGACAGACATTCACTTACGGAGGCAAATGATGAAATTCTTAGAAAAACAGCTATAATTATGTCCAAACTCTGGAGTTTTTTCTAGTCATTTGTGGGAGGAGGGTCCTTCAAGAGCACACATCTCTTTTCTATAATAAATACTTAACGTTACAAGCCTACAGAAGCCTTTGGGAACAAGTGGTAAAACCATGAATACCCAGCTAGGAATATAACATCCATTAGTGACATTTTAGTAGGTTCAAATTCTCCAGCAGGACCAATTTAATTTTTTCATGTTTGTGCTTGTCACGCATCTAATCACACCACACACTGGGTAGTTCCATAATTCTACTACTTGCTACATTTAGTCCATTTTTTTCCTCTAATTTTTCTTTAAGATAATAAAATTTTTCATTACTGGATTATTATGTAATTAAAGCTAGATGTCTCTTGTGGGTGAACACAATGTGTATTGTTGAATTATTATGATATAATTTGAAATCTTTAGTTCAAATGTTAAATAACTGAAACTTTAAAAAAGTAACATATTTTACAGAGGACAAGAAAAGTAATTACCTTTATATTCCATTTCTACTATTGGAAGAATGTTTCCAGGCTGGCTGACTGCTATTCTTCAGCAGATAGCTATGACCTAAATGAGGGAGTATGAGATGAATTACAAATCAGATGTGCAATGAAGATGCAATAAAACATATTTAGTAGGGAGATGGAGGAAGGCTCGTAATATTACAGGAAAAAATCAATTTTTCTAGTAAATATCAAAGGTGACTTTCATGTTTATGGTAATTTATTGGGAGCACTTCAGAAAGAAAGTGTGGAGTTTCATGAACTATCTTCTTTCGGCAGAGGGTATAAGAACAATTTAACTAGGAGGTGCCGTGAGTCTATACACAAAGGACATAATCCTGAGTATCACTCCACTTTCTAAACAGTCTCCTACGGTAACGAGCTCTCATCTCTTTACTGGCTATTCTCTGAACCAAACAGAAGGTATAATCTTCCCTCAATCAGAAAGAACTTGTATCATTTTCTTGCCAAAAGGTAGTTACCTTACCTCAAAACGCCCCAAAGCTTTCTTTTTTATGAACACACAAATTAACACTGTTCTCAACCTAAGCCTGTAGGAATTTATTTGCTTTCTTAACTTTTCATCTTAAGAAGACATTATTTATATTGTCAGGAATAAAGAAAACCGGGAAGGAAGATTTAGTATTGATACTAATTTTTCCAAAGGTATGTTATCTCCTGTTTCTTTTTACCCCTTTCTCCCTCACTCCCTTTCCTGTGTAACTACTGTAATGACAGAGATTAACAAAAACCCCAGCAATGACCCTTGGGCTGCTGGTGTAGTAGATCCTATCGACTTAATTAATATAACTAGTCAAAGAGTTCCTTTCTTCCAGGCTTTCTCCACTGTAACAATGGAAGTAAAAACACCATGTAATTACACTGCAATGATTTCCATGTAGGGGAAGAATTATCAGTTGTTTTCTTTTTTCCTGCAGTGATGTTTCTAGGAACTTTAGAAAAATAATTCAATGTCAGATATTCGAACAAATATTGTGCTAACAATTTGACTATTGTAACACCCCCAGGCAGAAAGATCTGCACAGATTAGCATGGCAATGCCACATTAGAGCTCCTACACAAATAAGCGACCCTAGAACTTCAGTAACATGGTGAGGGCCTCTTGGTCCAATGCCAAAGTTCCAAGGCAAATCTTCTCATATGATAAAAAGGAATGAAGAATACATACAGAGAGGGTGTCCAGAACACATTCTCTTTTGGGCATTTTTGTCTTGGACAGTCTCATCAATGGAGATGAGCTGCAGCATGTCTTCAGACATGGTGCTACTCAGCAATTTTGTAGGATTGATGACAAATACGAAAGGTCATATCAAAGAATGGAAAACCGGTCAAGTCACAATGATTGGACACCTACAACCAGGAACACTATATACTGACATGCAAGATGTACTCTGTGCAAAGGTCTCAGGTAAAAGGTGTGAGTAAGGGTTAAAACCCGGTCTGCACTTCAGATACCAAGGCTTGTGCCTCCTTTAGGCCCTACAGCCAGAAGGAAGGAATGACATTTTTGTAAGTTGTCCAGCGAGAGGGGACACTTTTCAGTGTTTTATAAACCTGAATAGGTGCTTTGTTTTAAGTCACACAAAGGGCCAGTATCTGGTCGGGGTAGACCTACTTTCAGTTATTTCCATCAGGAATTTTTTTCAATATCAGCTTGTACTTGATTAAAAGGAGACACACAGGGACACTTCAGTGATACTTCTGCAGTTTTGCCTCAGTTTCTGCCACAGTTTCAACGATATATTGCTTTGCCATTGTGAAACCTTCCTGAAGCCCTTAATTTAAATGCTGATGCACTGTAATATTGGGAATGGAAATGATAGTATCTGTGCATTTTTGTGTGGCAAACACATGACACAGATCATTGAGGCAGGAATTTGCAATCAACTCTGCAGTTCTCTAATATTTTAAAGTAATTCATCCCTCATAATTATCCAGTAAATTTAATATCAATTATTGATAAAAGAATCGTGGTCAGAACAAGTGGAAGTGCACTCCTTTATATGGACTAAATCTTTTCACAGTTTGAACAGTGCCTGACTTGTATCAATGACACTGGACTTAGTTTCTAATCCATGTTTTTGTGAAACTCATTCCCAGAGGCAATGCAGGTACAACAGCTGCCTTCTGCAGCAAAATCGTTAGGCGAGTGAATTTTTAAACTGGAATGAGGCTTAGAAATGATCCAGACCATCCCTTCATTTTACAAAAGAAGGAAACAGGAAATAACAATAAAATGTTCCTAGGATAGAAAGATATTCTACAGGGAGGGATAATGCATGTGTTCAACACCCTCTGCGAACTATCTGGGATCCTACAAATGTAGCCACTTGATTTGACTTACTTCAATGGCTGAATGGGGAATAGGAAACTGGCTGGTCTTGGATTCTATGAGGCCAACAGAGAGGAGAGTTCACACCTAAGCAGAGATCGATACAGATTTCAGGGATGAACAGTGATCCAAAAAGCATTCATGTAGTAGATGCTGTTGGTGTCTCAACCAGATGTCTATTAACCTGGGTTCGCCCACCCCCCAGCTGCTGTCAGGGTTGGATACTAATGGCTCACAGCTGCCCCTTTTGCTACCCTCAGCCATCAGGAACCACTTAGCCCAGGAGGTTACATGCTCACCCTCATCCCACTACTGGCAGTCCACAGTCAGTGAGTAACTGATAGAGAGGTGTACAAAAACTTGGCTCTCATCCTTCTAGGCAGGACCAACCCTGTGGTGAAATTCATGCTCCAGAGCTTCCCTGGGGATTAGGCTGAAGCCAGTATCTGTCTGAGACCACATCCTTGGTTAGCTTTCCCTGAGGCTTAACCTCCTTCCCTTGCTTCTCTTCTCCTGAGAGTGCTTCCTCAATAAATCATCTGCACAGGAATCCCCAACTCAGGCTCTGCTTCTAGGGAATCTGATCTAAGAGGATCCATGAATAAGATTTTTCAGAGGTCTGTACTGTACTGCTGATCCTTCAGGCATCAAGGGAGGAGTAGGAAGATAAGAGGCCATTAGACAAATGGTGAAGAGCTCGTGCTTAAGCAAGCAAAAATTTTTCTGGTTACCAGGATCAGTCTTCCTTAAGAAGGAAGCAGAACATTATAAATAACAAATATTATTTTCCTGTCACATGTTGAAATTCATAATGAGGAATTTATTAGCTGCATGGAATAGGAGACCAATTTGCTCTCCCTGGAGAAGAGTACACCTGAGTTAACTGACAATATTGCAGGTTTATTTCTGTCACAGTTAAACACTAGAGGTCGGCAACTCTGGCAGCTGGTCTGCCCTTTGCATTGCCTTCCTCATTTCCCCCAAAGCTTCCCATTCAGCAGGTCTGGATTGGGGCCTGAGAATCTGCATTTTTACCATGTTCCCACGTATGCCAATGCTGCCAGTCCAGGGACCACACTTTGAGAATCATTGGTATGAGGTAATTAATTCTAAAGAATTATTTGAGGTGTCTTTATCCCCACATCCATAAAGCACCACCATAAAGCATCTGACATAACCCAGATCCTCTGACTATTAATCTGTCTTTGGAGCCACTGAGGCCTGGGTTTTATCCCTCCTCTGCTATATAACAGCCATCTAATCCTACTTTCCTTATCTGTAAAATGAGAATAATAATGCCCATCTCATAGTGTTGCTGAAAGGATTAAATGAATTAACATATATAAGAGTATTTGGCTTAAAGCAAGTGCTAAATAAATATTAGCCCCCTTTTATTTGATTGTTTTTAATACTTTATAGTTTTTCTTTGGCCCTTAATAACAAAATTATATCCCACCATCAGAAACACTGAGTAGAATAGCTTTTTGCCTAAAAAAAGGCAAAGAATGAGTTTGTCTTCTGAAGTTGGCAGAAGCCAGCAGCTGATGCTTCACTTGAGTCATCTCTTTCTAGAAGCTGCTTTGTGAATATCTATGCTACCCAGGTGAGCGGCCTGGCTCTCTGCCAAACCAAATCATGGAAGCCAACAAGTGCAAAAATCTAATCAAAGTGACAACTCTTTTTTTTAAAATTTAATTTATTTTTTATACAACAGGTTCTTTTTTTTTAAGTTTATTTCTTTTTGGCTGCATTGGGTCTTTGCTGCTTCGCGCAGGCTTTCTCTAGCTGTGGTGAGCAGGGGCTACTCTTCGTTGTGGTGCGCAGGCTTCTCATTGCGGTGGCTTCTCTTGTTGCGGAGCACGGGCTCTAGGCATGCAGGCTTCAGTAGCTGTGGCACACGGGCTCAGTAGTTGTGGCTTGCGGGTTCTAGAACATGGGCTCAGTGTTGTGACGCATGGGCTTAGTTACTCTGCGGCATGTGGGATCTTCCCGGACCTGGGCTCGAACCCACGTCCCCTGCATTGGCAGGCAGATTCTTAACCACTGTGCCACCAGGGAAGTCCCTGCAGGTTCTTATTAGTTATCTATTTTACACATATTACTGTATATATGTATATATATACTGTATATATGTCAATCCCAATCTCCCAATTCGTCCCCCCTCCCCCTCCCCCTTTGCCCCTTTGGTGTCCATACGTTTGTTCTCTCCATCTGTGTCTCTATTTCTGCCTTGCAAACCAGTTCATCTGTACCATTTTTCTAGATTCTACGTCTTGTTTATAGTTTCCTTTGCTGTGCAAAAGCGTTTAAGTTCCATTAGGTCCCATTTGTTTATTTCTGTTTTTATTTCCATTACTCCAGGAGGTGGGTCAAAAAAGATCTTGCTGTGATTTATGTCAAAGAGTGTTCTTTCTATGTTTTCCTCTAAGAGTTTTATAGTGTCCGGTCTTACATTTAGGTCTTTAATCCGTTTTGAGTTTATTTTTGTGTATGGTGTTAGGAAGTGTTCTAATTTCATTCTTTTACATGTAGCTGTCCAGTTTTCCCAGCACCACTTACTGAAGAGACTGTCTTTTCTCCATTGTATATCCT